TAAACGAACGAAAACCATATGTAAAAAAAAGGAAAAATAAAATAAAAAGAATATGAAACAGATGAAATCACAGAAACCTGAAACGAGAGGGGAAAAAAGAGAGAGAGAGAGAGAATTTCAACTAAAAGATTCTCCTCTCTCAACGACAACAACATAACCAAAAAAAAAAACGAAAAAATAAAAAGAGATGGGGAAAAAAAATATATAAAATATATAAAAATATATAAATATAAAAAAAAAAAAATAAACAAGTTTTTTCGTATCGCTGGTGTGTTTTACATTTTATAGTAAATAATACTAGTGAAGAGAGCAGTATTATATTTAGCCCCAAAATGGCGGCCGATTATACGAGCTAAGTCGATAAAAAAGGAATAAAAATCAAAAATTTTCAAAACGGATATACCAAAAAGTGAATACAAAATATTACGTATATACATATGTATATGTATATGTATATGTATATGTATATGTACGAAATATGTATATATATATGTATGTTTATACATAAGGGTGTCATATAATTGGAGGTACAAGCGCTCAAAAGGATGAGAAATTGAAACTTTGGAAAATAAAAGTCTTATATCGAACGATAAACATAAAAATAGAAAGGATACAATAAATATTATTGTACTGAGAACACTTGCAATAATATAATAACACAATAAATGTTTTATCGAAATATTTTCAAGTAAAATAAAGAAATTCATTGAACTCAAACTGAATCAAATTCATACAAACCCGATAAAATCATCTCCTGTTCGTTTGTACTTTCGATTATAAGACACCATGAATATAATTAATCTCTCTGTTAACAAAAAAGAGAGAGGTGGTAAAAAAACAACGGAAGAGCGATGAAAAAAAAGCAATAATTGTGAGTTTTGCGTTGGCGGATGCGTTTCCGGCTTTTTCGAAGCTCCTTTACACGAATCTCATCTTTGTATGTAAATATAATACATGCGTATATGTATGAAGTATATAAAACATATCAATTCTTCTTCTTCTTCTTCTTCTTCTTTTTCTTCTTCTATCTCTTCATTTCGTTTCATCTTTTACAATTAGGGCCAAAAATTCCTAAACTAACTAAAAGATATTTTTAGATAATTTTAAAAATCAATTAGTACTACGTTTTTAAATTATTCAAATTTCTAAGTGTAAACTCTTGTTATTTCATAAATATCAATTTTATCATTTGACAAAATTAAATTAACATAAAAAAAATAATGAGAAGAAAAAAAAGGAATAAGATTTGAAAAATTTTCTAAAAATTTTTCGTTAACGTAGGAACTTTTGATCCCATCCTCTTTTCTTTTTATTTTATTATCGTTTCATACACTCATCACATACTCGCTAGCATATATATATATATATATACATATTACATATGTTGCACCGAAAAGAGATATGATCTATTTTCGGTGCCATGATGCAGAAGTGCATCAATAAAAAAATACAATGTTAGATATATTTCATATGTAAGAGCGAAATTCTTTAAAAAAAAAAAAAAAAAAAAAATTACAAATGTCAAATAATATTATTCTTATTATTTCTTAACACAATTTTCCCAATATCCGATAGAATTCTTTTTAATTCTTGTTCAATTAACAGTTTTTAAGTAAATAATGTTATGTTAATTAAAAAATGACTAATTAATAGGGAAATTAATAACGAAACATTTCAATAAATCTTTCATTTAATTTGCATCGGTAAAATGGTACGTTCTTTATGCATGAAATGATTCACAATTATACTTGTTCTATCGGAAACTGTTAATTAAATATATGAATTCACGTATACGATCGTCATTATGAATTTGACTATGAGTGAAGAAAATTAGGAAGAAATTTGCAAAAAAAAAAAATAATAATAATAACAATAATATACGTTTTATCGTTTACGAGCCTTACGTTTTGAAATCCGTCCTTAAATTCGCACGTAAACGATAAAACAAATAGAAAATTATTAAACAACCAAGAAGTTTGAATTTCGCTCTAATTCCTCAACAAATTTCATCGTTTGCGATCATCCCTCCTTCCTCTTTTCACATATTTTCTATTTACTTATATATTCTTCCTCATTTGTATTTTGAATTCTAATTAAATATTGAACACATACACGTTTTTAAGTGTTAGCCAAGTAACATGATCCTCTTTCGTTCGTTTAACGCAAATATTTGCATCGTATAAAGGATGCTCTTATTAATTGTCAATATTTGTTTCGCTATAGTTTTTCTAATATTCGTACAAGATTCAGATTTGTTGTCTGTTAAAAAAAATTATTATCAACGATCGTGTATATAAATTCTATCGGAATACTTTTATTTTTATTATTTTTTTTTTTTTCATCCAAATAAATTTGTTCATTCGCGTTCAGATATTTTCCAAATAATTTTTTATAACAAATAAATGTATTCGTAAACGATTATTTTTTTTTTTTTTGTTATAAAATTCATATATCTTTTTTAATCGTTTTAATTAATTTTCCATTGCTGTTAATTTTTTTTTTTTTAATGATTTCATTAGAATTACAAATGTACGGGGTGAACACTTTGAAATATATTTCATTTACATTGAATTTATTTTTATTTGAAAAGCGAGTTAATGTAAAAGTAGAAAAAAGAAACAAATTTTAATATAATATAAAACAAAAAAAAAGATAAAAACAATTTAATTAAAAATTGGCATATGTCGTTGCAGAGTAACTCGGTTTGGTTAAATTTAAATTTGCAAAAGTGAGTTTACGTATATGAAAGCGTTAAATTATCATTTTAATTTTTATTTTCATATACTCCTCTTATATCCTGCTAAACTTTCTTATCATTTTAAACGTATATTAAATTTCGACGATTGCCATACGTGATAAACTAGTCCATTCGTTGTTATCTCGTTTATTTTTATTTTCCTTAAAACAAATTAAAAATGAAATTCAAAAATACAAAACGAATAAAATTCATTTCTTTTTTTCTATTTGCAATGTATGATGTGTGACATTTTATTTTAATAATATTTTAATTAGAACACAATGATATTATTTTGTTTGACATATCAAATTACTAGACAATATTTTCGAATATCTTAATTTTTTGGCACGTTTAATTAACAACCATTACCAAAAAAAAAAAAAACGAAAGTACTGATATTTAGTTTTATTTATCTCATTATTCTAAAACTTTCGTATATAATACATCTATTATCACTTTTATCTATTTTCTTTTCTTCGTTATTTCATCATTCTGAAATAACTTGTGTTATCTGATTATTCTCACTTCTCTTTTTTTCTATTTCTATTTTTATTTTTTATTTCGATAAATTATTCGCGTGCGGAGAGCTCGGATGATCCGTCGTGTGATTTTAAGTTTAAAAGATGCATATGTAAAATAAACGAAAAATAATTCGTCAACGCTGGAAACGCATATGTGGTAATAAATTAAAAAAAAAAAAAAAAAATGAAATAAACTAATAAATAATATAAATGTAGAAAATGTGAAAGTACTGAAAAGAAATAAGATTTAAACAAAAAAATAAATATGTTCATCCGCGTAAGAAAAAAAACAACGTTTGAAAGAATTGAATTACCAACGAGATTATTATACTCGATGATTAGTTTATTAAAATCTCTTTTGTATGTTTTTATATGCAGTTAAATAATAATGATGACGATATTGTAATATACACCACACTTTATTTATATATATATATATATATTATTCAGTGTTGTAAACAAAATCAATCGAAGTTATTATAAAATATAAGAAATAAAATATTCGTGAACCGAGTTATAGTAAAAAAAAAAAAAAAACCAAAGAAAAAAAATACAAAGCATGCGCTTGTGAATAATAATTATTATTACCATTGTAAATTTCGTAACGATAAATTAAAAATAATGAACTTTTCGATAGATAATTATCATTTCCCTATGCACTCTTTATTTTATTATTATTATTATTATTATTATTATTATTATTATTATTATTATTATTATTATTATTGTTATTATTATTTTATTTTTTTCAACATGACTACATAAGTTTATGAAAATATCCTTGAAAAATTTCTTAACAGAAACTTAGTTGATTTTAAAAATCAATTATATTTTTTCCAATTACAAAACTATAATCTTAAAATTTCAAACACCTAATTAAAATTCTAAAAAACCTCAAATGTATAATTAATTTTTTGTATCACTTAAAATCTTTTGGATTTATCTCTGTGTTAAAAAAGAATTATTTGTTTTTTTTTTTTTTACCAGCGATTTGGAATTTTTGGAAAAAGGAAAAGAATTATAAAAATATTATAACAGTAAAAAGAGATTGGTACGATTATCCAAAAATATATATCGCAGGTAGGTACTGACACATTTATGCGACAGAAAAAAAATGGTAATTCTTCTCATGAAAAATTGAATTCTAGGTCATAGGGATGTTCAGTAGTAAGAGTCGATCACACTCGTGTATGTTCAAACATTTAAGTAGTACGGATCTCTGGCGCCAGTATATACGGTCAGACATTAAGTAGTACAAGTAAATTACTCGTAGAAGGTCAGAAGTTTAAGTAATGCAAGAGAATATGATCGGACGTTTAAGTAGTATAGGTCAAGCGTTCGAAAGTCAATAGAACAACGAGATAGGAATTATGCAGATATTATTTATTGAAAAATAATAAGATGAAAGAAAAGATATTATATTTCTTTTATGCTTAAAACAAAATTGCTTTTATACCCAGTAATCTAATTAAATAAAACATTCAATTTTTTTTTTTTAATTTTATCTTAACGATAAAACATAAACATTTTTACAAGTCTCATTTTAAAAACGTAAATGTTTTTTAACAATAACTAATAAATATCAACAAATTAGTAAAATACTTTTGTTATATTTGTAAAATTGCAATATCTTTTTTCTTTTTTTTTTTTTTGTTCTTTTTTTAGTTGTCAAACTAAAAGACGATCTTGAAAAATCTCTGATTAATACTGAAGTCATTCAAGTATATAGCCAAAACGTCTTGTATTTTACATATGTATATATAGATTAAGCTTTTCCAGCATTGTTTATGCTATTTGGTTGAATTTGTTGTGCGGAATTGGCAGCCGATGGTAGACTTTGTTGTACCACAGGATTCTCCTTGTTTTGTTCCGGGACCGATGGTATTTGATTTTGAACATGTTGCTGCTGCGATATCGTATTTTGAATATTTTGTTGTTGCTGTTGCTGTTGCTGTGGAATTTGATTATTATGCTGTTGTTGCTGCTGTGGCTGATATTGCTGTTGTTGTTGGATTTGCTGCGCTTGCTGTATTTGTTGATGTTGTATTGGAATCTGATTAGATTGTACCTGCCCATGAATGTGTCCATTTTGAGGCATCTGTCCTTGATATTGATGAGGATCCAAATGCTGTTGTTGCATTTGTTGATAATGAGGTTGTTGTTGTTGTTGGATTGGTACTTGGCCTTGGTAATTTTGTTGTTGTACTGGAATTTGTTGCGGATTATACTGCTGTTGAACCGGTTGTCCTTGATATTGATACTGTTGTTGATTAACTTGATTGCTGTCAACTTGTTGTTGCAATACGGGTACATGTTGTGGTGGGTACTAAAAGAAAATAAATTTATATTCTCGTTTCATTCAAAAATAAAACTATTTATTTTATTTCAAAAGGACTTAATGCATTTTACTAGTAAATCAAGGATGAGTGGAGAGCTCACCTGTTGATCGTGTAGAGGTGCATTACCATGCTCCTTTTGTAGCTGGTAACAAAACCAAAACATGCGTGTGTATGCAAGCTATATTAATTTTTCTAAATACTACAAATAACAACTGAACAAAATAAATTGTGTTCGTGTAAATAGAAGAGAAACATGTAAAAAATTGAAGTGAGAAAAACAAAGAACATTCCAATTGCATCTCCAATATTCAAAAGAAAATTATTTTTTAAGTAATTTGCATTAAGTATTAATCTTTCATGCGAGAAAAAGTCAGTAAGTTTAATTTGTAATAAAAATCTTATTTAAGTTATCGTTCACTTACCATTTCTTGCACACGTTTGTTATAAGCCTCGTATTCTTCTTTAGTAAAAATTTCTTGTTCGCCCAATGTTTCCCATCCTGGATCTTCTTGGAAATCTGGTTTCTTGGCTTGTTCCAAAAACTCTGAATAGCTGTGAAAGGAACAACATTGATTATTTAAATATATATAGCACATATATTGTAAGTTTAAATAAACTTAATATAAATATTACCTTATGAGACCATCCTTGTTAAGATCAGCTTCATTAAATACATGCTCTCTCATTCTTTCCATTTCTTCTTCCTTTTCAAGAGGATCAGTTATCGGCGCATCTTTGCCATACAATTTATCCAAATCTTTTAAAAATAAAGCCTTTACTTCGTTCTGATCCCAAAAACCACTATTATCAACGTCTGAAAAGTAATAAAATGATAAAAATATGCACCTGTGTATTATTCAGATTAATTTATAAATATAATTCGAACATTTTTACTTACCATGAACATAAAAGAATTTTTTAAGATCAAAATCTTCGCTATTCATATCGTCTTGCTCGGTCCATACATCTTCTAACTGACCCTTACTACCTGGATGGTGTATCTGGTAATAATCGTATTTGTAACAACATGACTAATTCTATCTCGTATCGTTATATTATTATAAAAAACTTACAGGAGCATGCTTTTTGCTTTTCTCTTTTAATTCTTGAATATGTTTCATATACTGTTCTTTTTCTTGCTCGTTCATACCTACAAATATAAGAATTTACATGAATATGTATAATTTTACAAATTTGATAGTAACAAAAAATAAACGAATATTACCCTTTAATTTTTGCTCTTCATTGAATTTCTTTTGCATTTCATATTCCTTAAATTGTTCACGTCTACGTCTGTCAGCTTCCTCTAAATCTTCTGTCGTCTAAAATAAATAACCGAACGTTTAAGAAATGTTGTTGTGTATCACGATATATCAATAAATCAAATCTATGGTGTTATACAACAAACCTTAGCTATTAGTTTCTTCAAATCGTTGATTTCAAACGAGCGTGAATTAGTATGATCTAAATGTTCGGCTATCTTTAAATGTTTAAGATCTATACCATTGTTCAAATGACTCTCCTTTATTGCAAGATGCCTTAAACGTTCCAATTCTTCTCGTTTCAATTCATCCAATTTAGTTCTTACTCTATGATTCACAAATTCTAATTCGTGAGCTATTTTTCCTGTCTGATATATAATGTATAAATATATAAATTAAAATAATTCATGCATTCAAATCAATCATTATAAATTACTTACACGTATATCCTCCTCATTGGCTTTCTCAAGTTTTGCACGAAAATCTGGATCACTGTCTAAGGCATCCACGACTTCCTTCAAGTATCTATGATATTCCATCTCTGGCTACGAATAAAAACCCCCATAGACATTTTTAATAATATTAAATATACAAGGTGTCCTGTAAGCAGTGATACAAGCAAGTACTGTAGTTAAATCTATCAAGCTGAAAATGAATCAAGTGCACACATACTAAATTTAAATTTTACAATTTACTTTCCTCAAAACCAGCTTTCTACAGACAAATTTCACTTTATATTATCAACTTAGATTTTTATGTAGAATCATTTCCTACTTCTTTGTACCACCAGTTACAGGATATCCTCCTATTTAATTATATATATTCTAAACTGCTATATTGTCATATTTATTATCATTTTATTTTTCTTACCTGACTTTCTTTCTCCTTATGATCTTCATTAGCCTTGTCTTTGGTCACCGGAGGTGCAACGATCACTTGCACCAACAGACCACATATGAAAATACTTAAAAACCAATCCATATTTCCTATAAATAAATAAAACAAAATTAAAATAAATATACACACAATAATCTAATATATAAATAAATTCATATTTAGATAAATATACTCATGTATGAATCAAAGTAGAATTTTTAAAGTGATAAATAATTTAGCACAAAAATTGCAATAAAATATTTTCTTATTTAAATAATCACAAGTATATCCACTTGTTATAATAATAGGAAACATACAAGTGGGTGTATATATTTATACTTGCCTTATCTAAATCACACTAGAAATTTCTGTATAGATATACGTTTCAGACAAGATAATCTCAATATTTAAAATAGAGATAAGCATAAGGACAAAAAATATTCAGATCTATTTTTTTTTTTCAAGATAAAGTATTATCAAGCTAAAGAAAATATTACACGTGATAACTAATTTGTTGGCGTTGACGTCGTATACTGGAGTCGTGGCTCTTTTCAGATCATCGTAATAGAAATAACACTGACAGATAATGAGAAGGAGAGGGAAAAAAAAAATTTTAAAAATACATAGATATGAAATTGCATCAATATAAAACAGGAATTCCCCGTGACGAAATTCACAGAACAAGAAGAAAAGAAAACTAATAATTATAAGCAATTTTATACCATCTGTTGATCGTGCAAATTTATTAAGAAGAAAATAAATCCAATTTATGATTACGCTGAGAATAATTTTTATTTATCAATGATAACATGCTGATTCATTACAAAATGTATAAAATAAATATGAAAAGTTAAAGAATAACATATACGAAAATAAAAAGAAATACATTAGTATTTAATATTGTTAAAGGAAAAAAATGTACCAACCTCCTTCGTATATTTGATGTCTCCTTTGACACTTGATACTTTATTCTACCGGAAAAGATAATTGTCAGTAATTCGAATACATCGAGGTTTACAGGAAGCCCGCGTTTAGTTTTAATTTAATGACGTTTTAATATATACATAACGTGATTGTTAAATTGAGAAACGTAAAATTCAACTATAAATATACTAAATGTTCTTAAGAAGTAAGGTTAAGGCAGAATATTCATGTATCGAACAATAAACTAGGTTCGATTAATCGAACGCTGTGATTGGTCGTCACACTTTCACTAGTCTTCTCGAATCATAAAAATAGTAATTATTGTTTTATTATTTATAATATTAAAATATAAATAAAAATGAAATTATATATATATATATATATATATATATATATATATATTATTTTATTATTAATATGTCAATAATAATAATAATATATTTATCATTTTCCATTATAATATTTAAATTGAATACAGAAATTTCTGGATTACATCTCGATTCAAATAATCGATTCTATTTCGTATCATGTATATCGCTAATGCATGTTTATAATAGCGTATGTAATAATACGAATTAAGATGGCTAAATTTTGATTAGAAGACTGCAACAAATAAGATAAGCATTTTCTCGTGCATTCGTAAAACCAATGTTTTGTAAAGTAATAAACCTAGAAAGTAATTTAGCTCAGCATTGTTTAATGAATATCGTTAAAAAATGTATAAGTGAGACATATTGGAATGCAACGAATTTAGTCGATCACATACGTCTCATCAAACAATTTCGTGGTTTTTTTCAATCTATACGAGACAGAGGGAAATCAACATTTTGATTGATATTCATATTAAATAATTTTAATAGGTAAGTGAGGTTAACAATTATTTTAATACATTTTCTAATTTATTATTGTGAACAAATAAAAAATTAATAAAAATAAATTTCTCTTCATAGTTGTAATCATGGTTGAAAATCCTAATAATTGTGTCCTGGAATGGTCAGGCCATGCAGGATATGTAACCGAAAGATTCAATGGATTATTGGCAAGTCAGGCACTCGTAGACGTTACTCTTGTGTGTGAAGATCAAAAGCTTCGTGTTCATAAAGTGGTTTTAGCTTCCAATAGCACGTACTTTGAGGTAAATCGATACAATTATTATTTCATAGAATTTTTAATGTATTCTATATAATATCTTGTCTCGTTTGATTTCTGAGTTTCATAACCTTATCTAATAATATCTTTACAATTGTAAGAAGTAATTCATATTTCAGAAGTTTAATTGTTGATCTATTAACAAAAATATATATATATTCTTTTAATGGTATATGTTTATAAATGCAAACAAAAAAGAAAGATATTAAGTTATGTAGTAAAATTAGGTAGGAACTTGAATTAGCTTCGCATGCGTATTAACATTAATGCGCTTTTAAATATTATGATCATTATCGCATCAATTCTTTCTTCAAAGTATATTCTTTTATCCGTGTAATCGATTGCATTATCTTCATTCATTATTTATAAACAAGTTGACAAAAATTTGTACGTTTTTTCTCACATTTTGTATATACAAAATTCTTTCTGTATTTATGTAAAATTTATATGAATTTCAGTTCATATTATTTTGAGCAAACCAGTAATGTTTCATTGCAACCGACCATGGGATTTTGATGTATAAAAGGACCAAATATATGCACATCCATATATATATATATATATATGTTCAAACATATTCAGTATATAAAGTTCTTATGAAGATAAAATATATTTTTATAAGAACGCAGATATATATACTCTCTTCTTCTCTCTATCTTTATCTCTCTGTCTCTCTTTACTGCGACGTTAGAATATGTGCAGAAATATTTACGGTAGACCAATTTTACAGGGGTTATAGAAAATTCATATATAAACTAAAGAAAGCCCTGTCTATTGGAAATTTATTTTTCTTTACAAACATTTGAGGAAACTGAGTTTGGTGGGGCATACTTTTCACATTTTTGAAGAACAGCAGTTCCTTTGAAAGGTATTAAGTAACCAACTTACATAAATTAGGGATATAATCGACAAACGTACATATCAAAGTATGCGTTTTTATTTAAGGGTGTTCGTGCACATGTTTTATATTTTATTTATCGATATAATATCGATTAGATGTAAATATTCAAGCACAACTTGCATGAAGTTCTTTCTCTATCGTCAAATAATATATATATGTGTATATATATACACACGTTTAAACAAATTTCTTTTTGTGTTGTATAGGATAGTAGAAATTATAATAAAACAATCATTTCTAGGATTTCGGATAACTTTTATTTCGTACAGAGAATTTATTATCGTCAATCTATCTATGGGTATTTCATTCAAATATAAAAATATTAACGTATCATATAATTAAATTAAATAATATTAAGTTGCATATATATATCAACGTAAAAGATGAATCATTAACCTCTTGCACTATAACAACGCATGAGATTCTTCTTAATATACTTTGTGACCCAAACACGAATCCTAATCATAGTGAATCAATCTTACAGACCAAACATAAAAAGTAGCACGAAATATAGCATAGACTTTTTGGCATGTGTGTTAAATTATAGTGTAAGGGATTAAAATGATATATGCGAGAAATTATAATATATTCATGAATAATTTTTCTATAATATTTATAGTCAAATAATAATCCTTATTTGTTTAAAATAATTGTAAATGATTATTGCTATTAAAACATTATTTATTTTATACTATAGGAAATCCTGCAACAAGACCTGGGACATGAACCTATAATCTTACTCAGAGATTTAAGTTTTAAAGTATTGAAGGCGATGGTGGAATTTATGTATCGAGGAGGAACGACTATATCTCATGAAAATTTGCCATCCTTGTTAACTGCCTCAAAACTTTTTAAAGTAAATAGTTTTATTTATTTAAATTAATTAATATATTGTGAATTGTTGATTGAATCTTGATTCCCATGCATTTGTGATTTATATGTGAAATATAAATACACAATAAAATATGATACTATTTAAATTATTGTAAATATTTGATTAAAAATTGATTAGTGCAAAATTATTGATTAAGCTAATAATAATTTTTAATATGGTAGTTATTAATCTTAAATCTTATGAGTTAAAAATTATAGCTGGGTTATAAATCTAAATGTTTTAATCTTTTTGAATAACGTTGATTTATGTTTACCATATTTTCGTTTAAAAAATGAAAAATCAAGATTCGTGTCAACCGTTCATAAATAATATATTTATGTCTTATTTATTTTACYRAKATYWAC